AAAAAAAAAAAAAAAAAAAATCATTTCTAATAATTACTTTGTTGACCTCCAACCTATTCTGTGCCACCACCTCTATCAACCCAATAGTTTTTTCCAGTTAACCAATTTTCTTTAGCAAATATTATTTTATTTCACTTTTGTCATCTTTTCTGAGTATTCATGTCATGTGGTGTTTATGCCTTAAAATAGTAATGTAACGAAATGAGATTTTATTTTAGAGTTTAGAAGTCAGCAAGGCAAATGTGCAGTCTGCCTTAGGAATAACAATTCCCTGTAGTACTATTTGCAATTTTCGGATTGCTTATATTGGAAAAATATACATGTAATAAACTGAACCGTCTATATGATTGAAAAATGGGTGCTATTGTGTTTAAAAATCTGGTTAACACAGCTATCCCCCGTATAGTAATATATAATAAAGTTTTCAGTAAAATCATAGTAGTACTTTACATCAAAGGGATAATTTTTTTTAGCTAGATGAGTAGTATAGATCCTCCAGTCCAAATTCAATTTCTCAATTATAATAGGATTGAAGTGACCTCCCAAGGTCATCTTGTTGTTTAAGCCCATCTATTTACTTCTGGATCACTAATCTTTATCCCATACCACACTGCTGATAATGTTTCTAAATATAATTCATTAACTGCATATGTTGATGTGGTCGATGTGTAAAAAAGTCAACTCATACAAGGTTTTGGTGAGTAATTTCTGGTTTTTATTTTACTATTTTTACCACAAGAAAATAATTTTAAGCCAAGAGCTTCTATTAGTCATACATAATAACTAACAGTGAAAATAATCAAATGGAAATAGCACACGGTTACGTCATTTTATTCTAAGAAACTGGAAAAATCACCTCTAAGGTTTTAATCTTTTATAATCTTGACCACAAAAAATTTTTTCAAAATTATCTCCAAAACTATCTGATATTTAAACAAAATATTCTAAAAGAAAAAGTATGATGTTATTAAACATTATAAATTAACTGAATCCTGTTTTAGAAGTTTAAGAAACACTAAGAAGTTTAAGGAAAAAATAAAAGAATCCACATAAGATTTAAATAATTTACACTTCTATAAAATGTACTAAATATTTGACCCTCAAAAGAAAAGTGACATAGCTCATGTTAATGTCCAGTTTAGGACATTAACACGAACATTAATATTAACATTAAGAAATTTTAAAGTTCCCTTTTAAATCTAGAAATTCAAAGAGTTTCCCCTTCTCTATTCAAAATATACATTTTCTTTAACAACTTCAGAGCTTTCAAAGCATAAATGTCATTCTTTCATTATAACAATAATAGATTTAAATTATCAGCTTATTTCAAGTATATATTTTATCTGTGTAATGTGTTTGCAATCACTGTAAACCTCTGTCGCAGGAACTCTCTTTTTTGTATTAGAAAGTTTTCAATAGTATTGGCTTCTTTGAAGAGTTCATCTATCTCATCAATGTAAGATGCATCTACTGCTGCTCTCTCACTAATAGGAAAAAAAGTTGTATATTAAACTAAGTAGATATAAACAACATCATTATGTTGTTCTTCATTACATTTGTTAACTATTTCATTTAAATGGCTTTATGTGCCACAGAACTTCATTAATTTACTAATACTCTTTGGAAAAAAAATTAGTCCCACAAATATTTTTGACTACTCAAAAAGGTCTCCTGACAAAACAGGAAATGTATCTAATACATGATCAACACTAATATTCAATTATATACATTATTTTTACAGTCACATAAACCACTATCCAAGTATAATGACTATCCAGCAGTGTAAAAAAACACACACACACTTTATAAAACATGATATCAGGCTAATAAAATATTTAAATTTGGTCTTAAAATAAATATAGGTAAAATATAAATGCAGTCATCCCTCAGTATCCATGGGGTATTGGTTCCAGAATCCCCCACAGATACCAAAGGAACATCCCTCATAGATATTCAAGTCCCTTATATAAAACATCATACTATTTGCATATAACCTAAGAACATTCTGCCATATACTTTAAATTATCTCTTGATTACTTATAAGACCAATACCATGTAAATGCTATGTAAACAGTTGTTATACTGTACTGTTTGAAAAATCATGACAAGAAAAAAATGTCTGTACATGTTCAGTACAGACACAACCATCCTTTTTCTCCCCAAATATTTTCTATGTGTGGTTGACTGAATCCACAGATTCAGAATTAATGGATGTGAAAGGCTGACTTTCTATGACATAAAAGTATTTATCTTTAATATCACTCTGTTATCATTAATTTCACCAAACATTTTTCTCAAAGAGGTATTTACATAAAAATTAAAATGTAACGTCATCTAATTACAGACCAAGATATATACAATCTAGTATTAGCTTGGCAAGAGTTAAAAAAAAAAAAAGAATTTTTAGTGGAAAAGTTGACGCTATTCTCTGAAAACAACCAACTAATCTATTTTAAGGGACTGAAGTAGAATAAAAAATTCCAACGTTTTAATTACTGGAGAGGTTTGCCAGTCACAGAGTTAAACTTCCCGTTACAGAGTTTCCAGAAGAAAACTAACATAAAGACCCCAGAGAATATACTATAAGTACTTGCCTTAAAAGCTTTGCATAGGTAGACAACATTAGATTAATTTCCTTGCTCACATCTGTTCAAGAAAAATCATATAAGTTATAAAATATAACAAACTTTCTGCATTATAAAACTGATGTTTAGAAATATAAACATTTTATACATCACCATTTAAATCTTTCTCCAAGGCTTCATCTTTATAAAACAGTCCAGAACTTTCAGAGAAAGATGAATCTGATTTTCCAAGAGAGGACAGCTGTGGACTATCTGGCACTGGAGACTAACAGGACAAAATAAAGAAAAGAGGTACAGTCAGTAAGATCTTCAGGACATACACTGAATTTATTAAGTATATGTTTATTTGTTTATTAAGAAAAAGCAAATAAACCATTTTTCAGAAAAAGGCAAACATGCTAGAAAGCATATGACTTAGTCATTTGAGATTTTATTATTAAGGAAATTTACAGGCCCAAGAAACACCTTGATCAATATATTAAATTTTATTTTGGTTTTCAACTAGACTTTTCATTTGTTTGTTTTTGTGACAAGTTCTCACTCTGTCACCTACACCAGAGTGTAGTGACACAATCTTAGCTCCCTGTAGCCTCCTGGATTCAAGTGATCCTCCTGTCTCAGACTCCTGAGTAACTAGGACTACAGGCACATTCCACCATACCCAGTTAATTTTGTTTTGTTTTGTTTTGTTTTCAGAGACAAGGTATTGCAGTGTTGCCCAGGCTGATCTGAAACTCTTAGCCTCAAACGATACTCCTGCCTCAGCCTCCCAAAGCACTAGGATTATAGCCATGAGCCCATGCGCCCAGCCTTAAATTAGATTTTAAATGTGGTTTTAAACTCCTGCTGAAAAAGCGTCTGGTATCTTGAACCAGTAGATGTTTTCATAGCAATGAAGCTAAACTGTAATTTAGACAGTAGCCAAATGCTTGCGAAATTTTGCAAAATAATATAATCTTCAAGGGAGCAAATCATGTCCCAAATGCAACAGATCAATTGGTGGGGGCAGGACTGGTAAAGGATAGGATACTGTGCTCTTTAAAAAGACCGGTAACTATAGTACCTAGGTATCTTACTTATCATAGCAAAATAATTACATAAAATCCTATGTATCATAAAGGCACAGACTCACTTCTGTCTCTAGATCTCAAGCTATCAAAAAGAAATCTCCCAATAGTTTCTTGGAGGCCTATACTTAGTGAAAAACCAGCTGGAATCAACATAGTTCCTGCTATGTTGTAGGACAATCCTAGCTCTGGGCATACGAATATATTAAATTCCACTTATCTATAGAGCTTTCTTAAAGGGAAGAAATTTGAGAAGTATGTAAAACAGAATAAAAGATTAAGGCTACACAGGCATAGGGCTTACCTCCAATTCTCTTGGCCTCTTGCAATTTCTATTGTCAGGCTTTACAAGGTGATTTGCCATCATATTCCGAAGGCACCAGCTATAAAGCTTAGAACAATGCCAGATTTAGATACAAACTGCACGCTACAAGATCTCTGGAATCCTTCCCTTTTTCCCACTCCTACTGCTGATGTTAATTTAGACTGTCATTATCTGTCACTTTCCTAAACTCAATTTCTCCCTCCTCCAAATCATTCTATCAACTGCTATTTGGGTAATCTTTCAAAACTTTTGATTACTGCATTCCTTTAACTCCAAAACTTTCATTGTTCCAGAATAAGTTGAAATTCCATGATATGGCCTTCAAGGTCCTGTATTTTATGGCCTTCAAGGTCCTGTATTATCTGGTGCCAGCCTACTAGTCCCATCATTTTCAACTACTCCTCTCTATGTACTTAGCCAAATGAGTCTTTCTGGCAATTCTGCCTTGTTTCAGGACTGGCTCAGTTAAGATTCTTCTATGTTCGGCCAGGCACAGTGGCTCATGCCTGTAATCCCAGCACTTTGGGAGGCTGAGGTGGGAAAATCACCTGAGGTTGGGAGTTCGAGACCAGCGTGGCCAGCATGGTGAAACCCCATGTCTACTAAAAATTCAAACATTAGCCGGGCATGGTGGCAGGTGCCTGTAATCCCAGCTGCTTGGGAAGCTGAGGGGAGAGAATTGCTTGAACCCGGGAGAGGGAGGTTGCAGTGAGCCGAGATTGCGCCACTGCACTCCAGCCTGGGCAACAGAGCAAGACTCCACCTCAAAAAAAAAAAAAAAGATTCTTCTATCTTCACAAAATCTTAATGTTGAAACAGGTCTTACAGTTCATCTAATTCAATCTCATTTTTTACAAGTAAGAAAACAGGGACAGTGATGGTGGATCAAGTGACACCAGTAAGACTGAACTAGACTAGAACCGAGATCTCACTCTTCGAGTCTGAGATTATTCCCACTGTCCAACCTTATTTTAAAGTAGCTTCAAATTTTACTTTTACTTTTCCATAAATTCAGAAGGCATTTTCCCTAGAAGTCCAAATGCTGAAACCTGGAAGGGTATAGTCTTTGTCTTTGAGATAAGGGGAGCCCTATCCACTTTCAAGTTATCAACAGACTTTGTTGTTTTTGAGAAACGATGCTGACTTGGGTAACTGTAATGCATCTGTTTGATTAGTCCTATAAAATATGCATATATAGAAGACAGAAAGAGCAACAACAAATTAGAAAGATGCTTGTTAAGTAAATTCTGTATTGTACGTCTCCATTCCTGCCAGTACCTTTATAGTATGCAAGTTTACGTGCTGTAATAATATTAATAGTATCTAGAAAATACTACACACGCACGGCAGTGCTAACTTTGCCTTGGGAGTTGGAAAATACTTAAGCCAACAGGCGGATTTTTCTCTCCTCCCTTCCACTTCTAATCCCTTTCTCCTTCACCCCCTTCTCTTCTCTCCCAAAGTAACACTGCGCGCCTACGTCAAATGAAAACTTATAATCAAGTAACTGTTTCTGCAAAAATAAGTTCGTTTTTCTGTCATAGCTCAAGGCCTCAGCAGATCCAGGCCTGGTGGACTGTTTGGTCTTCGTCGTATGCCAAACACCGGCCACTGCCCCCGGCTCTGCCATCTTAGGCTTAGTGACCTGGCTGTTACTAAGCACTGTCACCCTCTGCCTCATGCAGCTGTCTCTTTCTAGTCTTCTCCCTCTTCTCAACGCCAACCTGGCCCCTCAGTCCATTTCACCTCCATATTCCTCACTTCCCGCCGCCCCTCCCCACTTCCTCCGTACTGTTGCTTCCGCCCCACTAGAGCCCCTCAGAGGAAGCTTCCATCCTCGCGCCCTTCCTCGTGTCACACTCCGTCACATTCTCACAGGCGCCCATCCCTCCAGCCCCACCCCAAGGCCAATGTACTTCGCGGTATGGGCACCTTCCTCGTCAGCGAACGCGAGGGAGTGAGGACGCTGGGCGCGGGTTGCTCAGACTTCGCGGGTGGAGGTGGAAAGCGCGCCGCACTCCCAGCAGCCCCCGCGCGAGTCACGTGACAACCCCCCTCGCCCCCGCCCACTTCCCCACGGCAGCCTCGCAGAGCCTGGCCCCACGGAAGGCCAGCTTTTTTCCGGTTTTCTCCCGCTCTTTCCCCTCAACTTGGAACACCGTGGACCTTGCTAATTCCCTTCCTAGCAAAGTGATACAGTTTAGCACATGTTCAAGAAAAAAAATGGCTAAGAAATTTTGTTTCCACTAATTATTTTCAAGACTGTGATATTTACACCCTGCTCTTTAAAAGTTACATTTTGTAAGACTATTTTTTAACAAGTTGAACATAAGCCCTAAAAATATGTATCCTTAAATTGTATTTTGAATATTTTAAGTCAGTCTTTGCTATCATTCCAGGAATAGAAAGTTTTAACACTAGAAACTGCAAGTTTGCCCTCTCATCTGAATTTTGGTATCCCTCTCCCCAAGCTTACTTTCTGTTGCAGAAAATTTAAAAATTATTAAATAAAATTCTAATGATGGTATCCATGTGGCTTGCATCTGATATAGCAGATAAAGAAGTTTTATGAAAACGGACTCCTTTTCCACTGAAAAGTAAATCTTAATGGCCTGTATCAACTATCCTTTGACACCATATTGAGCTTGGGAGGAAGGGGAAGTCCGGAATGAGGTTATAAAGTAAAAAAAAATATTTTGCAAAATGTTCCTTCTTTTAAAATGTTATGTTTTAGAAATATTTTAAGTGTTGTAACATTGTAGGAATTACCCCAATAGGACTGATTATTCCGCATTGTAAAATAAGAAAAAGTTTTGTGCTGAAGTGTGACCAGGAAGTCTGAAAATGAAGAGAGACAGATGAGAAAAGAAGATGCTTCTAATGGACTAAGCAGGTGCTTTCTTGAAGTGTTTGTGTGTACTTCAGAAAGAGGTACAGGTTTTGGAAGGCGCAGAGGCCCAACTTTTACAGAAGAAAAGATTTCATGAAAATAGTGATATTACATTAAAAGAAATACTCGTATCCTCTGCCACTTTATTTCAACTTCTATTGCCCTAAGAAAGAGCCTGTTTGAAGGCGGGAACAAGGAGTGCCGGCAGCAGTCTCCTCCCTCCACCTTCTTCCTCATTCTCTCCCGAGCCTGCTGAGCCCTTTGCTCCCCTGGCGACTCCCTGGACAGGCAGCAGGGAGTTGTCTCCCAGTGCGTTTTGCCCTCCTAGCTGCCAACTCTGGCTGCTAAAGCGGCTGCCACCTGCTACAGTCTGTTACACAGCCTCGGGAAGAGGAAAGGGACCTCGGACCTTCCAGATTGCTTTCTCTAGCAAGAAACTGTCACAGGTAAGAAATGTCATTCTTCTTTATTTGGAAAGTCAGCCATGGCAATTAGAGGTAAATAGCTAGAAAAACAATTGAGAGGAATATAAACCATCTAGCATCACTATGATGAGCAATCAGTATCAACATAAGAAATATAAGCAAAGTCAGAGTGAATTTTTTTCTTTTATCAAATATGGGAGAGGATCACTTTAGAGGAGAGGTTCTCAAACTTTTTGCTCTCATGATCCCTTTACACTAGGCGCATCACATGTTAGCATAAGTAACATTTTTAATTAAAGATAACTATGTACTTTTTTTAACAACAACAAAAAAGCATAAAGAGTGACGCTTTTTTATTTTTACAAGTGTTTTAACTGGTTTAATAGAAGCCATATAGAGCCGCTGGATTCTCATTTGCTTTGCATTCAGACTACTGCAATATTGCACAGAATGTAGCCTCTGGTAAACTCTGTTGTTCGCTCATGAGAGAATGAGTGAAAAAGACAAATTATGTCTTAGAATTATTAGAAATAGCTTTCACTTTAGGAACTCCCTGAGAATCGCTGCTTTAGAGTGGTAAAATAAATAGGCTTCTCTTTAAAGGGAATCTCAAGACAGAATCAATTACATTAAAGGCAAACAAAAAATTTGCCCATGGGTAGTCATCTTGTGAAATCTGCCACACCTTTGGACTGGGCTACAATTGGATAATATAGCATTCCCTGGGATAATTTTGTTTCACAGTTAAGGGAAAGGCTGAATAAATATCTCTGTTTGAAGTTGAATAACAAAAATTAGGACCCCCTAAATTTTAGGACACCTGAAATTCCTCTTTTTGCCTATATTCAGCTACTTTGATTTCTGTTAAATCTTCTTTCACCCGAGGTCAGTAGCTCCTGCCCAGAATCTCAGGCAGGCCTGAGCCCAGGAGTTTGAGACCAGCCAGGGCAACATAGTCTCTACAAACTAATTAAAAATTACCTGGGTATGTTGGTGCATGCCTGTAGAACTACTCAGGATTCTGAGGATTGCTTGAGTCCAGGATACTCAAATCTGTGGTGAGTTCAGTCACTAAACAGAGTGAGACTTTCTCAAAAAAAAAAAAAAAAAGTTCCTTCAAAATAACTTTTGTCTGCAATGTTTTCCTATTGCCTATGAGATTAAATTTACTCTTCTACCTGATTTCCAAAGCCTTCCAAAATCTAATCCCACTTTACCCTGTGTTCACTGCAAAACAGCAGGACTGTTCCGGTGCAATCCAGAAATCACAGGCTGGGGGCAGTGGCTCACACCTGTAATCCCAGCACTTTGGAAGGCCAAGGCAGGTGGATTGCTTCAGCTCAGGAGTTCAAGACCAGCCTGGGCAACGATGGCAAACACCCTGTCTCTACAAAAAAATACAAAAATTAACCAGACTTAGTAGTATGTGCCTGTAGTCCCAACTAGAGGCAAGAGGATCACTTGAGCCCAGGAGGTCAAGGCTACAGTGAGCCATGTTCGCTGTGTCACTGCACTCCAGCCTGGGTGACAGAGCAATACCACATCTCAAAAAAAAAGAAAAGAAAAAAAATCACTCTATTCAGTTCACCCCCACCACAACATTGTTTTGATTATCACATAAATGCTGGTCCATTCCCTTCCCTTCTCTATCTATTCAAATCTTTAAGCATTCTTTGAGATTCAATTCAATTCTCCTTTTCAAACTAGGCCATTTAAACTACATCAGTTCCATTTTGATTTTTTGCTTTGAATCTACAGACTCAAAACCAAAAACTTAAAAAGTTATTTTTTAAGTTTTCTTCTACTCTCACCTCTTCCACACTCACATACACGCATTCATAATAAGATGACAAAATGTTCAAGGACAAAATGATTTATAGAACTGAAAAGTTAGGTTTTGATCTTGATGCTGTCAAGACGACTACCTGCCTGATCTCAGGGAATTAGTTATGTAGCATGCTCCCTCATTTCCTCCTATACCTATTCGACAGGATTGGAATTCCACAGCAAGGATAAACGTAATCATAGTTGCTTTTCAAGTTCAAGGCATTTTAACTTTTAATCTAGTAGTATGTTTGTTGTTGTTGTTGTTGTCGTTTGAGACGGAGCCCTGCTCTGTCATCCAGGCTGGAATGCAGTGGCACAAACTCAGCTCACTGCAACCTCCGCCTCATGGATTCATTCAGTTATCCTGCCTCAGCATCCCAAGTAGCTGGGCTACAAGGCACATGCCACCATGCCTGGCTAATTTTTGTATTTTTAGTAAAGACAGGGTTTCACCATGTTGGCCAGGCTGGTCTCGAACACCTGACCTCAAGTGATCCAGCTGCCTTGGCCTCCCGAAGTGCCGGGATTACAGGCGTAAGCCACCGTGCCCCAGCCTAATAGTATGTTTTTAAACTCTTAGTGGCTTAACAATGCTGGTTGTATAATAAACATGCCATAAATATGTATTGTCTTAGAATTATGAAGAAGTGGTTACTAAGCCGTTTGCCACATATCAGTGGTTCTCTCCTTACAGCTTTAACTGGAGTCTAGAATTTCAGGTTGGTAGAGCTGGAACAGACCTTAAAGATTGACTACCCAACTTCCTTGTCCAAATGAGGAAACTGAGACCCTTAAAATTAAGTGACTTGCCCCAGACAAAACTGGAACTCATGTGTCCTCATTTACATCGTGAAATTCTACCATTCACTAGCCTCTGGCTAGTTGTCGAAGTATTGCATAACTAAAAATTTTTTTGTGTTTTAAAGAACAAATTGTCACTGCTTACTCCTGGGAGGATCTTTCTGAGGTGGTTTATAACTCTTAAAAAAAAAAAAAAAAAGTCAATAGTCTGAGAACTTTAGATGAAATAGTCAAAGCATTTTTATCCAATGGATACTATAATTTTCATGGATTACAGTTTAAGCAAAGAAACATGGATGAGAAAGGAAGAGGAAAATTGAGGACAGGAAGAATGGGATTGAGAACACACCACTTGTAATCAGTCATAGCTGTATTGAGAACTAACAAGAAGAATTGTAAGAAAATAAGAATGAAGAATTCAAAATCAACACATGAAATAAAAAAGAAACTACTAGGGAAAAATGGAGAAGACATTAGAAAAAGTATTCTATTTTTAAAAATCTGTTTTCAGGCTTCCCTCCTGTTCTTCCTCCTTCTCATTGGTTTTCAGGTGGAGGGAAAGTTTAAGATAGAAAAGATATATATATTCTACACATCCCTTTCTACACCATTGTCATGGCAACAAGGTTTATCATAGCAAACTTTTATTCATAGAACATTTATTGAGTTCTTACTGTGTGGTAAGCTCTTTCCAGGTGTTGAAGATTCAGGGGGAGAAAAAGACAACTCATTGTCTTAAAACTCAGATGGAAGCTGAACAGACCTATTTTTATTCAAAGTAATCTCCATTCAGGGTAGTAAGAGCTATTTAAGAAGCATGAACAGGTTTGAGTGAGGTGGGACTCTGAGGAGAGAATAATTAGCTAGGAATGAAAGAGCAGAGAAGTTTTCCTAGAGGAACTATTAAAGCTGGAAGTTATGGGATGAGAGATGAGGCAGGGTTTGCAGGCAGGAAAAAAAAAAAAAAAAAAAGCAGGGGAAGGGGAAGTTCTGGCCTGGCAGAGAGAATAACTCTGGCAACAATGGAGGAGAGTCTGGAAGCAAGACAACCAAGTAGAAGAGTATTAATATAGAAGATGCCAGGGGTGATGAGGGCTTGATTTAAGACAGTGCTGTTGGAGACGGAGAGGAGATGCTAAATTCTGGAGACATTTCTGAGTTAGAATCTACAGTATTTATCAGACAAGGGAAAGATTAGACAAAGGAGTTAAGAATGACTCCCAGCTTTCAGTTTTGGGCAGGTAACTAGGACATGTTTTGAAAAGTAATTTATTATATCTCTTACCATTGGAACTATGTATCTGGAGCCAAATTAAAATTTGTGCATTGTATATAACTTTCCCCGCCACCAGTAACTACTACCCTAACTCTTTACTTGGTAGCCAGACTTCCTAAAAGAATAGTTTGTAGTCACTGTCCTTACTTTTCCCCCTCCCATTCTGTCCTAGATATTTGTCCATCTACCATCTGCTGCCTCCACTTTACCCAAACTGTTTTGCAGTTACCCAAAACTTCCTAATTGCCAAATTCAATGAACAAGTTTAAGCTTATATGTAAATTAGAAGCTCTACAGTTTCTGATTTCCAGCAGCTCCTCCTGAAACCCTTTCTCTTTTGACTTCCATGACACATCTCAGATTTACAAAACTGAACTAATTATTTTCCACTTGAGCTGTATTTTCATTCTTTTTTTCTTAATGAATGAGGTAACCACTCAACAAATTGCCCAAGCCAGAAACTACAAAGTCATCCTCAGTTCCTTCTTCTTCCATTTGACCCACAACAGATCAGCTGAAAAATCCTGCTGTTTAGTATTTCTTGAATTCACTACCTTAGTTTATAGCCTCATCAACTCTTAATTGTTAACATTGCTTCTGTAGTTGTTGTCTGAGCTCTGTCCAGTCTTGTTCAATCAGATCCATTATCTTGTTCTTGGTGGTGGTGGTGGTGGTGTTGACACAGAGTTTCGCTCTTGCTGCCCAGGTTGAAGTGCAATGGTGTGATCTCAGCTCACTGCAACCGCACCCTCCTGGGTTCCATCAATTCACCCTCCCGAGTAGCTGGGACTACAGGTATGTGCCACCACACCCTGCTAATTTTGTATTTTTAGTAGAGACAGGTTTTCACCATGTTTGTCAGGCTAGTCTCAAACTCCTGACCTCAAGCGATCCACCCACCTCAGCCTCCCAAAATGCTGGGATTACAGGCATGAGCCACTGCTCACGGCCCACCCAGATCCATTCTTTATGTTGCTTCTAGAGTGAGCTTTTTAGAACACAAATTTGACCATATCTTTCTCCTATTTAAGTCAGCATTTTTTTTTTCAAGAAAAAACAGTTCAAACTCTTTAGCCTGCTCACACAAGGCCTTTGTAGTCTGACCCTTCTTTCCAAG